ACCCATGACTGTGAGGGCGGTGCAGGACCAGGCAGTGTCTTTTCTGTTACACATAAGGTCGCCATGAGCTGGAGATGACTCGATGGCAAATGACAGCAACAGCAGCATACAGATATAAACATATTTTTAAAGTGTCATTTATCACTAAAGCTGCCCAGGCTTTACCTGAATCCTGGGAAACAAACCATCCACAGATGCGCTAAATCTTTTTTTTGTCAAACATTTCCGCCTGGTCTTCAATGCCTACTAACATTTAGGCGTTTCTTACCTATTCAGCCAAATCTCTCATTCCTTTCCATATCTCAGTTTCAGCCACGCTGATCTCCTTACTGTCCCTTCTACTTTACAGCACTGTGAGCAAAGCTAACGCAACTAAGTTGTCTATTCAAATATGAATTTACCAGCACAACTCTTGATTCCTATTCACCAGTAAGTACTTACTGAACTCCTATGAAGTAATATAACTTAGATCAGCAATTTCTAAATCTGACTGATAATTAGAACCACATGGGACATTTTTTAAATGTTTATTTATTTTTTTATTTCAGGGCCCCACTCATTAAAGATTCTAATTCAGTCTGAGGTAGGATCAAACAGCAGTTAAAAAAAAAAAAAAAAAGCTCCAGAAGACCTTGATATGTTCACTGAGGATATGTTCTAGGTGCTATGGAACACTAAGAAGGAAAAGTTCAGAAGAACTATGAAGAAGTTTATACAGTTTAGTGGGGAAGACTATGACCTAAATCCTATAAACACAGCAAATATGTTCTTCTATATCAGCAGAAAATCAGAGAAGGGAGATGTCACATTATTAATCAAGAGAGACTTAACAGTTTTTACCTTCTAGACAGGCTTTAGACACTCGAAGACAAGTTAACAGTACATTTCACCACTGAACCAAAGAACAGAAATGGCATGGTTACAAAGGCCTCAGAGAGAGAGTTACACTAAGGAAATTAACTTAGCTAGAACAGAGAGGTAAGGAATAGTGAGAGAAAAGTTGGATAGGTAAGAAACGCCTAAGAGACAATAAGCCTTGAAAGCAAGAAGGAGAGTTTAGATTTCGTATTTCATTATCAGTGGTTCTTAAACTTTTTTGACCTAGGCTTTTTCAAACAGAACGAAGGGTACTACGGCCCACCTTCTCTACTTATTTGAATAAACAGTACTAACTGCTAAAATAAATAAATGCAAAAATTTCAGTAGCTTAAAATTCTGATTATTTATCCAACAAAGTCCAATCGGTTATTCCTGGTCCGGCAACCTTCCACACGCATTCAAGGACCCATCTTATGGCTCTGCCCTTCTCTCAAAGGCCCTCTCCATTCAGTTAGTGCAGGGGTCGGCAAACTGTTTCTGTAAAAGGACCATTAATGAATAGTTTTGCCTTTAAAAGCCATTAAGTCTGTCACAACTATTCAACTTTGACCACTGCAGCCATAAACAAATGGGCGTGGCTGTGTTCCGATAAAACTTTATTTACAAACACAAGCAGCAGGCTGGATTTGGTGCACAGATGTAGTTTGCTGATCCCTGGTCCAGGCTACAGATGAAGAGGGACAACATGGAGGATTGTGTAGGAGGTGTACGTCCCTTCTACTCACAAGTCAATAAACCAGAACTTGGTCACATGGCCCCAACTAATAGAAGGTTGCTCTACCTGTACGCCCAGTAAAAAAAAAAAAAAGGAAATTGGGTTTGCTGAACATACCCATTTCCACTTTCCAGTCAAAAAATAGCCCAGTGTTAAAGACAGTTGGTTGTAAACACAGTATTGAAAATGATATAACAAACATACAGGCATATTTGTTGATGGGAAGTTATATACTGCTATTGCAAGAAAGCATTCCTTTACAAATTGTGGGAATAACCACACAAATTAGTTGATACTAATGATGCCAAAATATTTGTGATTTTTAATTAAAAAGCAATAGCAGCAGCAATTTTAAAACACAAACAACTCAATACCAATAATAAACTGACAAAACATCCCTCCAGTAAGTTAAGAGAATTCCAACTATACTGTGTACACGTGTAGTATGACATGTGTACTGTATACATGTGCAGTGTACATGTACAGCATGCCAACTTCTAGTAGAAAGCTGAACTGGCATCGATGGGTACACATAATGCTATACAGTCATCAAATCCAATTCATTCTCCTCCTGGGTACACAGCTAAGCCCTATTTCTCAACCCCTTACAGTAAAGTTGAGACATGACTGAGTTCTAACCAAAGAGTAAAGATTCCACTTCTCAACAATCGTGGAAGTAATGCACACCACTGCCAGGCCTGGCACATAAAAATGCCCCTCACGTGATCCTTCATTCTCTTCCCCTTCTGCAGCGAACTCAGAGGCCAGATGTTAAATGGTGGCATCACCAGAAGAAGCCTGACTTCTGAGTGACTCTGTGAATCTATCACTTCAAAAGTACATTTGGTTTGGATTTAAACGTGAGAAAATGTAACTGAGGGTAATACTGGGAAGATAAAGATGAATACATTGTTATGTAAAGAGAAAACCACCTTGACTATATCTTCCCAAACTTCACCCAAGATAAACTTGCTGCTTTAAACTTTGAGCTGCACGCTCTTCCTGTATCCATTTATATCTAATCCTTCTTTTTATATTATTAATTAGAGCTAGCACTTTACTGAAAATGTTTTACATTTATCATAAAACGAAGATGGTCTGTGACTCAAAAGGAATAGTAACTTCCAAGGAATCTATAAATGTGTTGGCTGCTAACCAAAAGGTCAGTGGTTCGAACCCACTAGCCAATCCGTGGGAGAACGATGTGGCAGTCTGCATCCGTAAAGATTTACAGCCTGGGAAACCCTACAGGGCAGTTCTGCTCTGTCCTATAGGTCACTATGAGTTGGAATCAACCCGATGGCAATGGGTTTAGGTTTTTCTTTTATTTTTTGGTCCTATTATGTGACATCTCAGGAATATACAGAAGGAAAAGTTTTAAAACTAAAAAAAAAAAAAAAAATTTTAAAACATACTTGCAGTCATTTTGTACATATATCATAACACAGCTCTGATTTTGATAAAAGGAGCATTAATATTGAAGTAACTCAATACGAAGCCTAAACCTGGCAAAATGTCATGCTCACTTTCAAAGCCCCTGGTGGTCCCCGTAAACAGTCCATGTATAGACAATCAAGATTTAATGACTTATTTTTCCATATGCTTCCACAGTTTAAAAACATTATATTCCTACCATTTCCAATTTTTCTTGCTTTTCTTGGACTCTAAATGATCTAAATTACCAATTCTCTAAGTTATCTCAGACAATTGTTTTCACCAATCTTAGGCAAAAAAAGTTCAGTAAAGGAGGAAAAAAGCTAAAATTTAGGACTTAAGGCAATACGTAATACACACTATGTAAAACACCAAAATAAAATAATTTAGGATAAACTAAAAATCCACTGCCAATGAATCGATTCCAACTCATAGCGACCCTATAGGACAGAGTAGAACTGCCCTATAGGGTTTCCAAAGAGTGGCTGGTGGATTTGAATTGCCGACCTTTTGGTTAGCAGCCGAGCTCTTAACCACTGCACCAGGGCTCCGATGTAAAACACCAAAATAATTTAGTATAGCATATCAAAACTATGGACTCGTTAGTTAAAAACTAATATATGATAAAAATGTATTTCTTTGGAATATAGTCTATAAAGAAGACTGACACTTTCTAAAACCACAGCAAATATCCATTTATTGAGTAAAGAAAGCAAAAGAAATGCACACTTTCCTTTGAAAGTTTCAAATGCATGTTTTTAAAACATGTTATTGGAATATACACAAGGGAAAGGTGGGCGAGCACAGCCTAAGAGGGTGATTGTTGATACTACATTTTCCATTTCTAGTGGCGCGAAGTACTGTTTTTGAGTAAAACATGACATGACGTATTAGTACATAAAACATCACAGCAGTCATCACGTATGGAGTCCCTATTTGGGGCCTGGCTCTGTGCTATGTACGTTATATATACACGTAATCTTCACCCTAGCCTATCAAGTAGGTATTATTTTCTTTGCTTCAAAGATGGAAATGCTGAGGTTTACAGAAATCAGAGAACTACTAAGCCAGGATACCCATTCAGGTCTGTATGCTGTATATTACTGCCTCCAAAAACACCCTCTATTTTATATGGCAAACATTCTACCAGGCGTTTCCCTGCTAATTACTTCAGGTTCCAATAAATTCATTTTATTCTCGGCTTAAAGTTTCCTTAATCAGCTACTCCATTTTTCACTTGTATAAAACCCATAATCATATTTAAATGCATACAGTTCCAACTCCTATCAAGGAATAAAAAAAATCATTATATACGTAACTGAGAAGCTGCAGTTTGAAAATCTAATCTTTATCCTGATAATGATTACTTCTATGACAATAAATCGTAGAGATACTCTTTGGTGTATTTACAGTACTTATACAGTCAATAAATTCCAATTAATATTCATAAATTAAAAACTACTTCTAAATAGCCATTTAATTAGTTAACCACTATTATGAAAAGTAATACTTAATTTAAGCCAATATTTATTAAAGAACAGTCCATGAGCAACTACTGGTCCACTAATCCTCTCCAGATAGCCCTGAACTAATCCCTGGGAAAGAGTATTTAGAAATACAACATATCTAAATGTCTGGCTTGAATGAACACCCACTGGTAATTCATTCTCACCACGTCTCATCAAAAGCCATGCCATTCTCTCCCTAAGTTTCGGTGGGTTTTTGGCTCACGTAAGTAGATGTAGTCTAGGATAAGGAGTAAGAATTTCTTATACTTCTGTATAAAAAGTTCAGTTCAAAGATGTATGTAACACTACCTGGCTCCATAATTAATCATAAAAATAAAGCAGTAAGAATTTTTTTCAGGTAAAATAAAAGGAATTTAAAATATTCAAGTATTTAAAAGGGATATTTGATACTTTCAAGTACAATATTTCCCAAAATAGCACAACCTCTCCCATGTTAAGCTTACCTTGAAGATGGCATTATATTTGAAGCCCTGAATTTTGCTGTAAATGGATTAGTTGACTCATAATCAAAATAGTCCTGACGATTTTCACTAAATGCATTAGGTGATTTCAAGTCACAAGGGCTATCTGATCCCCCATTGTTAAGTTTATCAGATCTTCTGCTATCTTTTTTTCCAGTTACTCTTTCAAACAGGCTAACTTTCTCCCTTTTCTCTCTTTTATTTTCTTTTCTTACTTCAATTGATTTTGAAAATAAATTCACGCTGCTGTCCCATGATTCACTGCTTTCTTCGAATGGGTTTTTCTTCCTTGGCAGTGTTGCAAATTTTTGCGGTAATGAAGCAGTCACATTTGTCAATTGGTCATTTTGTCTTCCAAAGGACGATTCACCTTCATCCACACTGTTGTCATGTTGGTTCGTTTTAGAAGTATCAAAGCTTAACGTTCTTCTGTGTGGAGATTTGAGACTTCCTGCAAATAATTTTGTGGTTAGTGCATACTCAGTGATACACTGCATCACACTCTGACATGGATTCAGTGTGCACACTGGTTCTGCTTTTAGAAGGAGAGCAATTAGCTGTTTCAAGATATTAACCTTCAAAATAACCAAGGAAAACAATTTTACAAGACAGTCTAAAGTATCTAGGCTAATAACAATTAGTGTATTGCTAGACAATTAGCAATTTGCTCAGCTCAGAAAGAAACGGTTACATAAGAAAACTATGTCAAAACTAGAGGTTTGCTTGGCATAATAATGTGATAAATTCTCAAAGATTTTTTGTCACCATTTACCACTAAATCTACTCTTTCTTCTAGGTACTTTCTGATGAAATGGAATATTCATTTATGCTTCTGACTTTGGAGAAAGGAGAAATAGCAATGAAATGAAGTCAGGCCAGGAAAGGGGACTGGGGCTCATTTTATTATCATCTAATAATATGAATATGAATGCAGACAAACTCTGACTTCAATGAACTTACCAATTTTGGATATAGTAGGTGCTCAGTAAGTATTTGATGAATGACTATATTTAGAAAATACTCCTGAGAAGCTGCAATCTTTATTGCCCAATTTTATAAGTTAAACTTTAATAAAAATTAAAAAGCATATTTCAGACCACTGAGGATACAATCAGAAAGACATGCTGCTCACCACTTTCTGGAACTGCTCCAAAGGAATCTATCTGGCGCCCAAGAAGATGTGTTTGACCAATGGTGCCAGACTTCAGTTTCTCAGAAGATATGTGGGACCCAGTTAAATCAGACATTGAATGTGCTGAAGAAAGTCTCTGAGGACCCAAAAGAAAAGGCTTTTTTGGTTTGGATTTCATCTGGATTTCACCACTTGGAAATTCGGTATTAGCATCAGGCATGTGAGTACTCGGAATGATTGCAGAAGATGTATCAGAAAATGTCCCATCATTTTTTCTACCTTTCATCTTATCTTTTAATTTTGCAAATGGAGATCTTGTTTTGTCCTTCATTGATAAGTCAAACATACTTGCTGTCATATTGTTTCTCATAAATTGAATATTGACCTTTATCTCACCCCTGTTTTTGGCTCTTTTTCCTTGTTTGGATTCTAATCTAAACCACCTTAAAGAGAAGAAAAAAAAGGGTTGTAATGCGTAATGAAGAGAAGACATGGAGCTCTGATATATACAAACAGCTTTTTAGGTAAAGCTACTATACAGCAAGGCAATCTAAGCACTGAATGAGCATCTATCAGCCAGAGTATTTCTGGTTTTACTCACTGTTTAAGGACCTGATCATTGTTTCTGTGATGTGACATATACTGAAGGAATATGTCTGGAGGTTTTAAGTAGGTTTGAAAAGAAAAGGCTCTCAGATAATCTTTCTTTTATGCTGTGAAAATCACTCATCAAAAATTCTTATCAATGATACCTAATATGTTTCCATCTGGAATAAGTATTGCTGATGGCCTAAGAACATTTTTCAACATTAAAAGACACTGAGGAAGAGATTCTGAAAGCATTCATCAATACAAATTGTTTTTAAGTAATATAAATGACAAATAATGACCATATTTTTAATAAAATAATAAATACATTAGCCCCCACCGAAAATATTACTTATGTAAAAAGCATTAAAAGAATTTTAACGTTGGAAAACTACTAGTGTTTACTAATCATGAAAATTGCACATGATGTAATTTACATTAGATTCATATAAAATGGATCAAAGCCTGTTCCTGAATAAAATACGCAAAATGAGTAAAATGCAAGAAGTGACAAGAATTTGCTGGGGGCGGGGGGGTGGCAGGGACAATTTAAATGCTTCCTGCTAGATTCTATTTACTTCATTTACTCTTGCTATTGTGACAATACCAAATAAAATTACTGTACATGCACCTAAATCTTGTGCTTTCAGTCATTCCACTGTATTACACTGCCCATTTTTAAATGATGTTTAAAAAGCAAAGTTTATTTTGGTTTTGTTTACAGTATTTTCATCCACAATAAATTCTCAAATTGTCAGTGTGACAACGGTCATTCCACAGGGCAACAGCCAAAAAAAGAAAAAAAACCCTGTAAAATGAAGCCTAGAAGAGAATTTCTACAATGTTTCCACATTACTTAACAATGAAGCTTAATACTCATTCCTGCCGACACGTTATTATTTAAATATAGCTCTAATCAAGTGTAACAAATTTTCTTGGCTACAAAGGAACTCTGATCTAATTTTACATTAGTTCTTTCTCATTGCTACCAACAGGATATGCCAAAAGAAGATTACACTTAGTATCCATCAGGTGGAAGACTGGTTCACAGGGAGGAGAACCTACCCATGATACATATACCAACTGACTACAGTATAAATGGCCTAGGGTGGGCTATTTAAGGTGAACTGTACATTAATACATTTAAATCATCACACAAAGTATTCAATCGCTTCTGAATGGATCAGAACTTCATTCTTTGAGAAGTACTTCAGAATGAGAAAAGATAAACACACTCACCTATATTATCACCAGTCTTATCCCACTGTTATTTTTTTTAGTAAGAGACTACTTCACAAATTCTTGCCCACCACTCCAGGAAATTAAAGCAGTTAAATTGAAACATTTGAATAAGGCTAACCTGACAATTCTAAAGGTACCTCCCATGATCCAGAAATCTGACTCCAACAAATGAAACTCTGTAGCAGCTGCAGAGGCACTCAGTGCTCAAAGGCCCTAGAACGTGCTACCTACCATCCTAGCCACTGTCCCATTCTAGAGCTTCTTGAGAGGAGTCAGAATAAGATGCAATCTTAACATTTTTATGCATACAGTCATCAGTCTGACGAATCTACATTAAGGTAGTTTTATATATCCTCTTTTTATTCTCCTAATTGTATCCCCAAACTCTAGGTAAATATTCCAAAGTTCCTTAATTAAGATTGGTACGTAATTTAAAAAAAAACTATTGCCATCGAGTTAATTCCGACTCAGAGCCACCCTGTAGGACAGAGTGGAAATGCCCCATAGGGTTTCCAAGGCTATAATCTTTATGGAAGCAGACTGCCATATCTTTCTCCCTTGGAGTCACTGGTGGGTTCGAACTGCCAACCTTTCAGTTAGCAGCCAGACGCTTAACCACTGTGTCACCAGGGCTCCTTTGGTACAGAATAACAAATATTATTAAATAATTAAAATTTAAAATCTACATAGATTTGAAAGAAAAAGTACACCCCAAAGACATCATTTTTCCCTTGCTTTGATATACAGGCCATTCAGAGATCCTGAGCTTAAATAAAATACTTCAACACATTCCAAGAGTCTTCCTTCATCTTTGGCAAAGATGACCAAGCAACTAAGCTTATATCCTTCCAAAAGAGTTTCCCAAACAACCTTCAAAATCTACAAGTCTTAAATTAGCTGGGAATTATGCTCATGAGGCCCTAGGTTAACACTAATTCTCACTAAATGAGAACCAAGCAAAACAATGGGAACAAATCAGTGAAAATCCATCCCTACCAAGAACTTAAGGCTATCATAGCACACTATGAAAAACAAGCAATAAAAGAGTCTAATGCTTATCACAGGTTTTAGGCTCTAGAGCTGGAAGGAATACTGTTGCTCCTCTATGATCTGAGAAAAATCAGGTTTGTAAGGGAAGTTCTTTACATTTATAATTCTTCCTTCATGGACAGAAATACAGGTGCCTTACTGACTTCCATTATCAATGAATGTAACCATTGGGAAACTGTCACATTTCCACTGAATCCTAGAACTGGAAGACACTTCTGAGTTCATCTAGGTATTTCTGACTCATTCTTTTCATTGGAGCCGTGGTCGCTCAGTGGTTAAGAGCTCAGCTGCCAAAGGTCAGCAGTTTGAATCCACCAGCCGCTCCTTGGAAACCCTATGGGGCAGTTCTACTCTGTCCTACAGGGTCACTATGAGTTGGAATCAACTCGACTCTAGGATACGGGAATCCCTTTTCCTAAAATTGAAAATCCTGAGGTCCAGCTGTGTACCTAAAAACATATTTCATCTTCATAATAAACTTCAGCTCTGTAAGACCATTCTCTTAAACTCTTAAGTAACACACAAGAAAAATATTTTCTTGGTTATCTAAATTGGAGTAATTCAACCAATTAAGCTCTAGTTACATCAGGACAAGGAATTTTTTTTTTTTAAAGAATAGGAAATTTTATAATAGAAAGCATTAACCTGAGACCCTAAGCCGAGAAAATCCCTAATCTGAGGCAAATGATGAAATCTGAAGACATAGGGATTAGAAATAAGAAATCACAGCAATAAACTCTGTGGAATAGAGAACCTTGAACAATACAAAATTGAGCACCCAAAAAGTCTGGAAATGGAATAAGGTTATGTACCCAGTTATTAAATCAGAGCTGTGGAAAACAGAGCCATTTTTAAGGGGGAAGCAGAGTACTTCTGATGGATGGTACCTCAGAAATATTCTGCAACATCATCAGGCTATGGAGAAAATAGGTGAATACACTTTGCAACAAATACCAAAAATAAAAAACCAACAACAAAGCAGCATGTAAGATTTCCACGTGTATAACAAACTACAGAAAATCTCAGAAAACAAACTAATAATCCAGTAAGAGGAAGGGAGGGAAGGTAATCAAAATCAATCGAATTTTAGAAATAAGACCAAATAAACCACCTACTTAACACCCTTATTTCACAGACAAGGAAACCAAGGTACAGAGAATAAGTAATTTCCCAATGTTGGATTAAAGTCAGTAAGTAAAAAAATCCAAAGCCCATGAATAACATCTGCAGGAAAAGGGAAGTTCTTTCTAATTTGATGAACCATATGTTAATGAGGTTAAACACATAACTGGTCATATATTACAGGATACCGTATGTAGTCAGGAGACATGACAGCCAAACAGGAAGGCAATGCATATTTTCTATTGCTAGAGTATAAGCTCCTTGAAGGCAAACTGCCTTGCACTAAAAAAAAGTTTACTGAATTTTTGTTTCTAGAATCATATTCATAACACAATCAAGCTATAACTCATGGAGGGCGGTATTGGTTTTGGGTTTTTTTTTTTTGGTAAGGAACTCTAAAGACTTAAGCAACCCTTAAAGAAAAAAAGCAAGTCAGTGTTTGAATGCAAACTGTAAATACAGTATAGTTTCCATCTTCCCCCATCTCAAAAAAAAGCTGCAAAGAATTTTCACAAATACACTAAAAAATGTAAGCATGACAAATAAGTTCAGCTGCTTCATTCCGAAACGGATCTAATAAGGAAGTCTTAACAGACCTTCAAGAATCATTCCAGAGATATCACTTGTTTTCCCAGGCTTCAAAAAGATAAAATGAAGACACAGCATTTGGGGCTTAGTGGATTAATGCTGTTTTTTTTTTTTCACCTCTGGAGTGCTGGATTTAAACTGTATATGGCTTCAGTTCAATTTTTAGTGGGCACAGGTCCACGTGCAAAAACCACCACACACGTGGGAACTATTTCCAAGCAATTGGTGCTGTGTGGTCAGAAATGGGACAAGATTGGCAATAAGCGTGCCAGAAGCCAGGACGCAGGTGCACTGCTGAGACACACACAACAGGCCTGGACTCTGCATGTGTTTGCGCCATACCTAACTGCAGGGACTCTGAGCATTATTACTTTTCATGAGCATTAAAAATAAACTCACATCACCCACTTCTGTTGTAAAAAATCAACAGATATGACATAACAGCATGAACGATTTTACCGCTCTATTATTAAACACTGTATTATTTCCTTAAATCTCCTGCCAGAATCAATCCAGACACCCACTAAAGTGAGAGACACAGAAGTTCTTTCTATGCCCCACTCAAAGTGGTCTGGCGCAGCCCTTTCTCCCCTTCCTTAAAAGAAAAAAAAAAAGTAAGTAAAATAATAGTTTTAGCCACCACACTTCTTTGCGTATCATGACACAACTGGAAGACAGGCTGTAAATACTTGTCTTCAGTGTCAAAAAAGTAAGAAGTGTCACACCCAGCACTTTCGTGGAACTTCTAAATCAGCTAGTAGCCTTCATCACTCACACCGGTTTTCTACAAAGCACTTGGGAATATGCTGACAAGGTTCAACAATGTGCAGAATATTAAATATCTTTCTTGCAATACACCAGTGATCCAAGTCTGTCTCTTAGTGTACCACATGTACAGCCCTGCTGGAAAAAGGAAACTATTAAATATATTAAAAAATGAGAAATATTACCAATAAAGATACCTAATCAAGTATGTGGTCCCCATTTATCCACAAAGTAAGAATACGACCATATGAAAACCGCTTTAATTGCAGTAACATCACAAGCCCTACTGCTAATATTTAAAAGCAGTTTTCCCTCAAAAGTTCTAATCAATTCTATTTAATAGCCAGTACAGAATTTCCATAGGCAGAGAGTCTGATATTAGAGTACTGCCCGTAGGGTCGCTATGAGTCGGAATCCACTCGACGGCAATGGGTTTGTTTTTTTTGGTTTATGGTGCTGCCAAAGACAAGGAGGAAAAACAAGAAGAAACTTTAAAAGGTTACTTCATCCTCGGAATCTTTGGATTCACACTTGGGCCTACTTTCACTTGGAAAATTTATATTTCAGAGCAGGCCTGCAATACATCATTCATTAATATTAAAAAGACTGGAAATGCAGTAAGAAATCTGAAGCTACAATATACTCGAAAGTTTAAAAACACTAAATATTATAGACTAAGTGTCACTTAAAATTGGCAATTTGATACAAATTTATTTGGTAATTATCCATTATTCGTTTTAAATTTGATGACCTACTCAGAGAAAACTGAGATGACACTTTTTAGGTATCAAATAGTTTTGATATTAAAGTCATCGATATATATTCAACTTCACAATTTTTTTTAACCTTTTCTCTTCTGTTTCTTAAAATATTTTCATCTCCTCAATTAGTTTAAATGTTTACCATTTTTCTTTTTGCATTCTATTATTTCTTCTCTCTCTACCCTTTTTCTCTGCGTATATTAAATCTTAGGTAAAGACCTGATTTTTTTAAAAAAACTCCCATCAAGAGAAGCCTGCAGGCAGACATGTACAGAAAAGAACAAGAGATAGTTAATTTAAAATATAAAAAACTAACATGAACTTTAAGAAAGTTATTATTATTTAAAAAAATTTTGAGAGACAAATTCCTGACTGAAAGAAATACCATGGCGGTTGTGGAAATCTGAAGATTTAAGTTCAACCTGTAATTATAAGTTTAAGGAAGCAGTGAGTGTATCTACCTCTGAAAACATACTGTTTTTCACTTTAAGCTACAATATTCTAGTGTTAACTTTTATTACAGCTTTTTTAAATTACAAAATATCTAACCCAAGCCTGAAAGTCATAAAAGAGCATGGTTTCACTGAAAATGTCATTAAATCATTTCATCACAAGAATTCTACAATCTTATAACATTTAATAGGGCCTAAACACACTAGCTTTGCAAAACTAATTCTAAAGTAATACACTAGCTTCAATATATTGTATATTCAAAGGAAAACACTGTTACTACGTTAAAAGTTTAGAATGTTTGTACACAGTTTTAAAACATTTTTTTTCCTTAACAGCTTTAGGATTCACCAAGATGTACGGGCCCGGAAAAACGGTGGATTTAAAATAAAGGCCAACTGTGTTTCTAATCCTGAAATGAAATAACTGAGTTCTAAATTTGGTCATTTATCTTCGACAGCTTCAGAGTTCAACGTTTATATTAAAATGCTATACTGGCAGATTTAATTTTCTGATGTTCCATTTTATGTAAAAGTTTAATGTTTAAAAATCATTAACAATTTACACATATGTGAAGTTTTAGCTGTTCAACACTGTGTTCCAATCCTCTTATAAATAGTGAAACAATGTTAATTTGCTTAAAATTCAGTGCAAAATATTTGATTATTTAACAGATGTTTACCTCAAACAGAAATGTGAGGAGAGCAGTCATTAACGACTCCATTGAAAAAGTGTTTCTTCAAAGGGCTACTTCTACTACAGATCCATGCAAATATGGTGCTTAAAACTGGGTCCTATTTCAACCCAAAAACCAATACCCCAAACATACAAATAATTTCCAAGAATAGGAAATCCAGAAATAAGATATACTTAATCCCCCCTCCCCCCACCGCCCTCAACTCAGTTCGGACTCCTAGCGACCCTACAGGACAGAGTAGAACTGCCCCATGGGATTTCCAAGGCTGTAAATCTTTCTGCCGCATCTTTCTCCCGCCGAGAGGCTGGTGAGTTTGAACCAACTTTTCGATTCGCAGCCAAGCGCTTTAACCACTGCGCCACCATGGCTCCTAAGATATACTTAAGCACCCCAAAATTCAAAACAAATTCCATAACTTACTCTGTTTTCCTCCTTTGTTTGTCCTCAAAGATGTCACTGAGATTGATTGCCACCTGTCCTAAAAATTTATCCAGACCCACCAGCGACCTGTGCATAACTATGAGGAAAAGGATGTATTTCTCTGGATTCCCCTGCATTAGCAATCCAGGTAGCTCAAAAGACGCCTCTTCCTTCCAGACTGGCTCAAGGGTTTTCTCAGCTACAGAGGTGGAGTACTTTTCCTTGCCCAGCTGAATGATAGTGTATGTGTCATTGGTGCCACTTTTGCCTTTGGGCTTAAGATCTTTGGCTTGGAGCACTGTGACCTGCACGTGGGTTGGAAACCACTTTTGGGCTTGCTCTGACAGCATCATTCTGCCCTTTTTCTCTGCTCCGAGTTCCCAAACGCTGGCAGTGCCCCTCGCCAGGGGAGAGCCTAATGCTTTGATCACTTCATCCTAAGGGCACTTAAGGGGCACCAGGCGAACTCAGAGCTGGCCCACTTCCCTGGGGCTGATGTCAAAAAGCCAGCCTGGGGCAGCACCGGGGCACGGCTGCTCTGCGGGTCCCCTTTCCTCCGGAGCAGCAGGGGCCCACCATCACCTGGCCGCGCTCCAGGCCTCCGCGCGGACCCCCGCACCTCGCCTCTCCACTTTCCCGCCCCGCCCGCCCGGGAGACGGGCCTTGGGGGCGGGTGGCTCCCGGGCCTGCCGGCAGGTGAGGCCCGGCCACCTGGGCCCGGCGGAAGCTGCAGAAG